GAGAATAGACGACGGCTATATGTACAGATGGTTCCAAGCTAAACGAAAAAGTGGGAGGTGCGATCCGCTCAGGAGTCGGGGCAAGCCTTATGGGCGCGCATGGATATCGAACCAAGGATTTTTGTTGCAGCTGCAGAGACGAAGAAGACGTGGATAGTATCAAAGGCATGTCTCGTCTAAGCCAAAACGCGTAACCACTTCTTCAAAAAGTACTTTATAGTTTGCTTAGCTGAGCTGAACTCAGCGAACATTCTAAATTTTTTGTGCTATATAAAACTCACTCGGAGGTTAGACATTTAAGGGAGGGGCTTTTACAGCCTAACGTCTGCCTCCGCTGGCAGTCCCGCTAACCTACACAAACCTAAAGCTGAATGACACGCATACATTCGCTAAAATCCTTAAAAATTTTATGTGTCACTGCTCATCACGCAAGCTAGAACATAAAAATGGATGGATGAATGTCTTTTAAATCGCGATAATAGCTGACAGCGAGGCCATTTTTTGGTTTACATAAATATTAACTTAAAGGATCATCAAATTCCACTCACTCAACTTTGGTGCTTATGAAATATACTTTGGCACATATGTATGTATGAATGTAAATAAAAATGATGACTAATATTAATATTGTCATAAATCATCAACTTTCACCTACCTCTATTAAAGGTAAAAAAAACAAAATATTTTCTTTGTCCTCACATTTCATTGGCTGGATGGATGTTTCATCTGATATAGTAGTACAATGTACACAGGAATACTTACAAGTTAGACTTTTATTTACATACCTATGTACATACATGTGTATATACATACATACATATTTTAATATTGAGAGTGAATTTTATTTAGAGTTTTTTAAGAAGCATCCTAAGGCTTTCTTTGTTGTTAGGTGGTTGGAAAATAAAACGCGAAACTTTTCATACTAGTTACCAAGGGGCTAATATTTAACTTGAAAATTTTAAATGTATGAGTGAAATGTGACATATGAAATTGTAACGTCCGGTTTTACAATATTGTGAAAGAAAATTTTTTTTTTTACAGTATCTAAAAATTGCGTTTGATACAAGAGAGTAAACATTTCTCTCAATACTAAAAATAAACAGAAAAAACTTGGCACTAAAAGTTTCGTACTGCAAGGAAAATAGGAAAATGTGTGTTGCCGATTCCGTTGTTCTGCAATGCCTCCGCTTCATGTCCCTTTGCATACGGTCCTTCCAAGGTGTTTGTGTGCGCCCTTGCTTTAGTTGCCCACCTATGACCCCTGAGCCCAAGCAACATTTTATCGAAGCGTCATCGTTCATGCGTAGATCCAAGGCGAATTTATACAAGGTGGTGTTGATGGCGAATTAAATTTTCGCCGCGGTACTACTGAATGTCAAAATGATGTGTTTGTTGTAAACAAGGCGAATTCATTTTACAACAAACACATCATTTTGACATTAAGACGTATCTCGGCGAAAATATAAATTCGCCATCAACACCACCTTGTGTAAATTCGCCTTGCGTAGATCAATAAGTTTCGTCAATATTCTTAAGCTGCAAAAACCGCGCTAAAGATCATGGCGATGTATGTATTTTGTGCCTTCGCGGAAAACATTCAGTGGACAAAGAGTTCTAAAAGTGGATGCACTTCATGTTATCTTGAAGATTGCTGACTGTGGGGGACGAAGCTAGCCTTTATACTATGGCAGAGGTTGGGAGAGGATGTCCTCAAGACGGGGTGCTCTCATCTATCTTGCGGTGTTTGATAGTGGACCCCCTACTAACGGAAATGCAAGACTTCATTCACATTTAAGCTTACGCGGATGATGTTCGTGGACTGTCTTCAGGTAAATCTCTCAGGGAGGTCTTTGTTAAGACACAGAGAATCTTGAATAAGATTTAAGAATGCCGGATCTTGCTGTCAATTGCAGCAAGACAACCCGAGTAGGGTGTTTAGATGGAAAAGAAAATTAGAAGGTCTCAACCTTCCTGTGCTTAGAGGCGTAAACCCCAGTCTACCCGTGGATGAGAAATATCTAGGGGTAACTGTAGATACGAAGCTGATATGGAAAGAGCGCTGAAAGTTTTCGAACAGTATCGGAGAACTTTTAGTAAGACCGGGCTAATGTATTCTGAGTATACTTAGTTTTCATCAGACCAATTGTCACGTGTGTATGGGCAATACAGTCGCCAGGACCGGCTCTTAATGCTTTGTTGAATTTGCTATCTCTGAATTTGGCGATCCAAGAAGAGGCAATGAAAATGATGTGTCTACCGCATTCCTTCGGATTGTGGAAAGGCGATCGGAGTTCTGGGCACAGAGAGTTGTTTAGAAGATTGTCAGAGCAATACCTTTTGTTTTTGGCACCGAGAGAAAAACTGATATCTGGAGTCTCCTTTGGTTGAAAGTATGTTGTTCGATTTCCTACAAGGAAGCAATGGAGAAGTTTTGGGAAGCTCGGTAAACAATTTCTACCCCCACGGCTCATAGACTGAAAATGGTACTGCAGCTGGATGGCATCTGGGCGGTAACTTCAGTTGCTTTACTGCTTTGGATGCAATGTCAACGGTCTTTCAATCGAAAGTTTCTGCAATACTGAAAGCGGCAGACTGGATAATTGGCGTAAGGTGGCGCGGACATAAAATGAGGATCTGCAGTGACAATCATCTGCTGATAAGGCCTTGGAAACCAATCGCATCCCTTCAAAGCTAGTCGAGGAATATAAGTTGAGGCTGAGCTCCGTTACAAGGTGGAATGAGCTTGAATTTGTGAGAGTGTCAGGACGAGATACATTCTATTTCTCTCAACAAACTGCTAAGATTCATAAAGGGGTCTGGAAAGTTCGCAGACGAGCAATGAATTCCCACCCATTCCCTGAATCTATGCCTCCTTAAGTACAATGGGCTATACTGCCCATCTTATCTTGTCTACAACTTCTTTGGTTTCAGATGGCTCGGCGAGGTTCCCTGCAATCTGGATGGAGCTACTAGCTTCGAAGGGTGCCAATTTAAACGTGGGTAATGCAAGCTGCTCTCCATACTATGAAAAGTGAATAAGTACACTCAGAAAAAGTCATCCAAATATATTTCTCTGAACACATGATTTACCAAATCTATACTATAACCAAATAATGTAACTATAACCAAATCATGTGTTGAAAAATATATAGTTGACGTAATATATAGTTGACATAACTAAACTCTTTTTTCCGTGTAAGCTGCATCGATATACTTATACACGATTTGGCGCTGATCAGTGATGAATTCGGTAGGAATTAAGCTCCTCTAATAAGACCCCATCAGTATGTTTATGAGCTGCTTCAGTCTTCTTTGTATAGTACAATATGTGTATTGTATCGAAAGTTTCAATATAAAATAGAAAATGGTCCAAAACAACAGGACTGATTTTACAAAATTCGCTTCGATTCCACTCTTTGGACAATCATTCATTGGGCTAGCTCTTCGTCGCCGGATTCGAATAGCTTAGCTGTTACACTGCCGGCTCCAGAGACCTTTCGGTTTTCAAGCAAATTTAGGCTAAACTCACGTCGTGACTTGTCGTCTTGACCGAGCTTGGGGATGCAAGCAATGCGCCTTTACGCTGGTGTAGACTTTTTTATTCAACGCATCAGCGGTNTGACTTGTCGTCTTGACCGAGCTTGGGGATGCAAGCAATGCGCCTTTACGATGGTGTAGACTTTTTTATTCAACGCATCAGCGGCATCGCCATGCTGCTTTGAGCATTTTCCCAGTCCTGGTATTGAAGCCCTTAGCTTGAAATATATTCCCATTGAATTTTCGAGCTTTTTCTTTTCGATTAGCATCTCAAGCTAATTTTATTTTAAGCTCTATTTATTGCCCTCAATTCTGATGAATCCTTTTATTCGGCAAGTCAGTGCTGCAGGCTATCAAGTTTCGTGCAACATCGAGCAGTCTCAGATATATTATTATGAATGCGGAATCGACGGTGGGTTCGAAGATCTAATATTTTAAATTAAAATGGACAAGCCAGAGTTGACGACGGAGTTAAAGACAATACTTAGCTCCCACCACAAATCTGATAAAAATACGTGCTCCTTCGCACGACAGCTCTACTTAACGTACCCAGATTCCATTAGTTTCTTGTCTTGCCCCGTCCATGGCGTTTCTTAGAAGGCGGTGATGTTTGTCTTTGCTCTTCGTGGGCAGGCGGGCATAGGCACATTTTCACGATGCCTTGTTGAACCGCTTTCCGTCATCCCTTGTAAAATTTGGTTTGGAGACAAACCGTTCTTTGTTAGCCAGGTGCGGCTTAACGGATTCTATACACAGTAGTTGTTCATTGGAGTGCATTTTAAGGTGGGTATAAATCGGCTGCATTTTCAAAAAAAGATAAATCTTTGCAAGTTTGCCGTGATGAAAAGCCAAGGGTCTCATCCGAAGGCTTACAGTACTTTTCATTGAAAGTTTGCATTTTCGTAGTGGGTTCTCTATCCAATGCACAACCAGACCCTGAGCCCATCGTTAAAATATATACTTATTAGTCGCTTGCTCCGAGACATACATCTGGCTGCAGCCGCACTTTATTTTGGGCAGACTCTGCAGACTTCAGTGAACGGTTAAATCGTTTCTGTCATTGATTGGTTACCGCATCTCGCACATGGGTTAGACACGTTACCAACGGCTAAGCTAGATTGGCCATTGGTGATAGTAGAAGAAGAAGAAGACCTCCTTGCGATTGAAAGACTAGGCATAGAAGGGCTTGATTTCACTTGGAATTTCCAATCGGCATGACTTGACATGAAAGGGAAGCGAGTGTTGTGCTGCTGCAAACTGACTTATATAAGTACATACATACACACACATGAACATGGATGTATATACGAATCGGTTAGTCACTAAAATATTTGATCTATCTTCATTTGAGATATCAGATATTAACCAAGAGTTTTCGAAAAATACATTGTCAGCAACTGCTAATTACTTAGAGTAAGGAATCTGTAAAGTTTACTTTAATTTTGCTCTTTTTCTTTGCTTAGCTAAAAGTTTTTGTGTATACCAACAAATCAAAGGAATAAGCAGAAATGATTAATCTAAAAAAATCACTATAAAAAAGGAGAGAAAAGGAAATAAAGTGTACAGAAAGCGATTGGCAAAGCAGCACAAGCAAGTATTTTAATAATAAAAACAAAAATAAAATCAATCACACACAGACAATTTAACAAAACTTTTCCAAACAAAGTTCAGTAGAAAAATAGTATTACAACCACAAATAAGGGAAAAATAAAACGATTACCACCAATCGCCCATCCCGTGAAAAAATTGTGCTTAAAATATTAATTTACACGCATACATAAATACATATGTACACATGTATATGCATGCAAGTGTATAGAGAGTGATTATATAAAGCAACACAATTAAGTGTACGGTGTTACCAAAATGAAAGTCTCGCAACATCTATAGTTATAAGAATAACATCAATTGGCAACCGTGGAGTCTGCAGTATCCGCCCATTGGCGTGGGCCAACAATTTCATAAGTTATAAAGCGACGCAATCAACGACGTGGGCGATATCAATTACATTGATGGCAATGTGTTTGCTACAACACAGCATCTTAGTTCATCTACTAATTAAATATCTGTTGATCCTGTGCGAAAATGGCTTATTGACAACAAGCAAAACAACAGGTAAGTGGCCCTTATACATGCATACATACACATACTTGAGTATATAAACATAGACAATGTGTAACTAGTATGTTATTGATTAACTGATAGTGATAGGTTTCCATTACATATGTAGATGCATAACATAATCACTCACGAGTATAAAAGTATTTATTTTGAGTTGTGGTCATTCAATAAATTTATCCGTATGTATCTTGGCGGTGAATTATTTGCAATAGAGATGTCAAAATCCAATAATCGATGCGGTTCAAAAATTCCACAAACTTTTCATCCCAGTTCCAAGCACACCGGGTATTTGCTAGTTGAAGATATTTTTAAATCAAATATTTCTCAAATTCCTTTTGTTTGATACCTATATTGTAATATTAAGCTTTTGTTACTAATTAAATTGAATAGAATTTTTAAAATAGGTGGCAACCCGTCTAAAAATATTTTCGAAAGTAAACTCTACAGTTTTCAGTTCAGTATTGTGGTATTTTCTTTTATGTTATCAATTTAATTGCATTGAATTGGCGACCCTCGGCAGTAAAATTTCTTCCACCTCTTTAGTTTGATAGCCATATTAATACATAGGTATTTAATTTATTTTGTTTATTAAATAAAATTAAAACTTTCAAACAGGGGCAATCTTCCTCAAAAATATTTTCGGTACTAAACTTTCCTAAACTTCTTTATATAGTTTTATAGCAATATTCTTATATGGAATTTAAAATAAAATTAAAATTATCAAAGAGGTGGCAATCCTCCTCAAAAGTATTTTCGGCAGTGAACTTTCCTAAACCTCTTCACATAGTTTGATAGCCATATTGTATTATTGTATTCATCTTGTCAATTAAATTGAAATAAAATTTAAAAATGTTTATTTATTATTATTTTCTTTTTTTAACTTGCCGCAAAAGTAGTTTTGGCTATAAGCATTCTTATTTTATTACAATCGTTTTTTTATCTTATCAATTTACTTAAATAAAATTTTTTGAATAGGTGGCGACTCTCAAAATTTTTGTCTTCTAAACAGTTCCGGTATTATAGCGAACAAGTCAAGAAAACATCCTTTTTAAATCATTCAAACTGTTTACGAGACAAACGGACTGAAATTCTATTTTATATTGTTAATTACAAGGATTATTATTTCTACAAACTTCCGATAATGAACTGGTATGCCAAATTCAAGAAATAGTCAACCAAAAACGGAAAAATACAGGCATATTAAAATATATCTATACAAATTTCATATTTCTTATCACACTCATTTGAGAAATCTGATTTGCGTCCCTTACAGTATCGGTCATGCTAATAGCCCCACTAATTTATTTATTTATTTTTAGGAATTTTCAGTTAAAATACATATCATTCTCTAACAAAAGCCATATAAGCCAAACTTTGTAGAAAACTAAAAAAAAAATTAAAAAAATGCATCCAAATTTCAAGCTTTTTTTCAGAAGTGTAAAAATTTTTGTGTGTTCTATTTCGGCATTTTTGTATGTCAAGTTTTAAGAGAAAAGGTTTCTTCGTTTGAAACCAATGTCCAGTTGCCACAGCAAATGTGGAAAGAATATTTTCCAAAATCAATTTGAACGAAACAAGAAATAAACTAGAAATTTCAGCACTCTGTGGTACTTTAAGAAATAAAGTTTTCCCGAAAAAATGCTTCATGAGCTATTTAACTGAAGCTATAGAAACAAATTCTCAAAAAAAATTAACAAAGCACGAAAAATTAACAACTGAATTTAAATAAAACAAAATGTGATTTAAATGTCCGATTTTATAAAGTCATTCCATTTACAGGGTTGAGTATAACATCAAATACAATATACAAAGGCAACATTTTTTGGATGAAACGAAATCACCATAAACTAAATCATATCAATCTAATTTGCATATTAAAAACAAATTATCGGTATTTCCATATGGCAGTGTTTGATGTTTTTCCCATTTTTTCTTGCCTTTGTATGGGCAGAAAACAACATAAATAGCTATACTTTTAAGTTAATACTCATCGGTAAATTGGCTTTAGTTGTTCGCAATTCGATTTGCAAAAAGGTGCACGCAAAGTGAGAACAAAGCGGAAAGAGCAGTGTTTCAATAAAGGGCAAGCACATGCCCGGACATTGAAAAGAAGTTAATAAAAAATAGAATATAAGAGTTTTTGTTTGGGCAGCCGTTATTATGTCGTTTGACCTTCGTATTTAAGCAATAAACAATCATCATTGCTTTTGTGAAAAAAGTGAAGAATTCCTTTAGGAAATTGATATAAATATCGTCACCCTTATGCCAGAAGCATGAATGTGCAAATTTTATGAGTTTTGAGCTATTGGGTTGGCTTGATTAGCCTTTGCATGTTCTATGTTATACCAACACCCAGAATACCATGTGCACACGGAAACTACATATTTTACCAAGTCTGCAATTCTCTTTTGGTCGTATCATTGAATTCCAGCTTCGACTGCCCGAAAGTCCATTTTTTTTAAAATAGGATATACCTACCTGTTTTTACCAAAGATTCAGATTCTCCGCCTCTAAATACCCTTCGAACTTAAACTCTCAAATAATTTTTTTTTTTATTGGAAAACGAAAAAATAGGATCCACCAAAACGGGGATGCTTTGTATTTTTCTCTGACCGGAAGCCCATTTTTTAAATGGAATACACATGTTTTTACCACAGATTCGGATACTGCGGACAGAAATACTTTTTTTCTAGAATGAACTTCCCGTTAAAAGAATTAATTCCCGGTCTGATTAACCCTCTTATGGTCGAAGTCGGAAATCGCTTATGCCACTAGAAGATAGAACGTCCCCGACTTTTGAAATAATTTGAATTTTCGTTTTGCATTAAAATCTTTTTCGTCAATTTTTAAAGTCCAGGGGGTCTACTAAATATTACGATTCGAAACTCAATCCGATTCGAAAAGCGACACGGACCAATACAAATTCATAGCGCCAGGTATTCGAATCCCAACGATGTGCTTTTCGAATAGCAATGCAGAGTAGACCCTCAGGACGAGTCGACTTTCGAAGTTTATTTAGAGATCTAAAAAGGCACTTCCGAAAAAAAGTTTTAAGTGAAAGTTACGTATTTCTATATGCAGAATCTGAAACTATGGTTAAAGAATGTACATATATCCCGTTTAAAAAAGGACTTCCGGTCAGTTCAAACAACTTCCGGAAGTAACTAACACCCCCATACACAGCACAAATGGCTTGAAGCAAAGGGAAATTTCGCTTGGTTTGTCAAACCGCTTGTGTGGTGTATTTCGCTCTTAACACGACCAAAAGATAGGGCATCCCCCACTTGGTAGTTCCAATTTTTGCATTTTCCATTAAAATAAACATTTTAGAAGGGGTGGCCGGGTGGTCTAGGACACCCTGTATAGTAAACCTCCCAGAAGCTGAAATGAATGATTCGCCTTGCCTGAAACTTTACTTGTCCTCGAAAAGTTCTTCCAGTTTTAACAGAGTTTAACATATTAGAGAAGGTGAATCCCAAAATGAAGCATGGCAGGCTCCCGTCGTATTTTCGTACTGTTCACCGCTGTATTGCTAGAGGTCGAACTTAAAATATAGGAGAAAAAAAATTAGAGCGTTGCCACCTGTGCCAAAATTTCAGTAAAAGTAAATTGATAAGATAAACTAAATATTACAGTGTGGGTGTCAAAAGAAAGATGTTTAAGAAGGCTTAAAGTTTTGGAGGGTTGCCAACTGTTTGAAAATTTAATATAATTGACAAGATAAATTAAATATTGCAATTTATTTGGCAACCTAAAGAGGTTTGTGAAAATGTATTGCCGAACATATTTTTGAGGATGGTTAACACATGTTTGAAAAATTTTATTCAATTTAATTGATGATCTAAATTAAATATTACAATACGGGCATTAACCTAAAGAGATTTAAGCAAGCTTATTTTTGAACATACGTTTGAGGCAAGTTGCAAGAAGAGGTAGATAATAATGAATAAGTTCTCCTTTTTAAGATATTACGCGATACGTAGACTCGAGCTATAGCACTAAAAATTAAACCCCAATGAGAAAGTCGATATTTTACCTACTTTCTAAGTAATTTCGAAAATATGTTAGCTAACACTCACATTTATTTCAAAATTTCACTTCAAAAAGTTTTTTAAATCTACATATGTATATATTTAATTTTTTTTTATGAACGAGACCATACGAGTTTTTGGAGGGAGTAACAAAACAAAAATACATACTTTTAAGGCACAGTGAAGCACTCCGGGCATGTGAACTAGCATAGAACATCATCAATGGAGTAATTGATGTCCGTATTTGTTGGAAACGAAAACATTTCTATATTTGACTAATTCTTGGTGTTATTCTTTCAACTTTCTTTTCTTGGTGCAGCTGCGAGCTACAGAGTTCCGTTGTTCCAAGAGTTTTGACATGGTCTTTCGAAGCTGATCATGCAGGTTCGGTAGCTTCCGAGACGGCCAGCTGGCGAGGCCTAGCCTCCAATCTACCCCGTTGCTCATCACGTCTAGAAATGGCTTGGCTTATACGCGGAAATGTGTAGTTTCCGCTCCACGGCGCTTCCGTTGTTCATTGTGACAGAGAGCCGCTTCTTTTATGGACCGCGGGGGGAAATTTCTGGCTTCCGCTACGGTTTTAATTATTTCGCCGCCTTCCATTTTAGGGCACAGAAATCGGGAATTCGTTCCGGAGCCCGATGCGTAGATCTACAGAACGATTCCTTTTTCCGCTTTGCTGGCGACTTGCTGGCTCCAAGGAATTAAGTTAGTGTGCTCTTCGTCGGTATGCAACATGGTATGGTACTTATCATGGCATCGGCGGCATCGATCTCGGTTGATGCACGCTTGTACGCGATGTCACATCGACAGGCAATTGTTGCAGAACCGACCGGGGTCTTTGCTCGACATATTATGAACATTGCGAAGCGAGTTTCTCATGGAGTTTATGGTGATTTTGTTACGCACCTTGGCTTAGTCTGAACGTTGGAAAACTAAGATTGGTTATGAGTTCGTTCTCAG